GGGGCAGGGCCCGGCGGGGCTGGGGACGCTGCCGGACCTCCCGGGCGAGGCTTCACCTCGGGTCCGCGGCTCCCGCTTTCCCGGAAAAGCCCAGGTTCTCCCCCTCCCGGCCGGAACCGGGGCGGGTGCTCTGCGCATCCCTGCGGGTCCTCAGCTCCGGGAAGACGGAGGCCCGGAGGCGCCCGCCGGCTTTCCACACGTTCCCGTGCGTTTTTGTGATGTCGGCCACACCACCGGACTTGCTCCTCGGAGGACGGGGCTCTGGGAAGTGCAGGCTGGGGACCGACGCGGGGAGCCCGGCCCGCGCCGCTGAATGGCCGACCCGCTGCTAAACTTTTTTTTCTGCTGCCGCCGCTGCCTCCGCGGCCGCCTTCGCTTTGAATGTGGGTAACTAGGAAACCGCAAGCCGTCTGAGAAGACGGAATTTCCAACGTGTAAAATGTTCTTAACGGAACCATTGAGCGAGTGCAATAAGGCGTGAGGGGGAACTAATCTTCCCATTTAAATGTTTGTGGCAATTTTATCTAAATGAATTTTAATGCTAAACGAGGGTAATTCCCCATTTGTAGCGCGTTTACTTCTCTTTCCTGTGCTTCTAAAGCAGTCGAACATCGTGCAGTGAACAATAACAATAAAAATACTGTCAAGGCATATTATTCATTTTGAATGTGTTATAATTACATTTGATTAAATATCGGGTAACATTTTTAAATTTTTTCTGGAAAAAAATACTTAGATCGCACTACAGTCTCACTCAGCCAGTGGACCCCCCCCCCCCATAAAAATAAGAAGCATGTACAATTGTGTGCCCTTGTTTAGGAGAGGGCTTTTGGGTTTTGCCCTTTGAGAAACATGGAAAACAGCCTCCACACCTCTATTATTTCCCTCCTTCCGATATGTGTCCTCAATAACCTCAGAGCTGGCTCTGAAATTTACTAGACGAAAAGCTAAAACTGCATTAAGCGTGAGGTGCCCGGGCAGGAAGAGGGGGCTCCAGTGAGAGTTCCAAACCCTCATGCCGAGCGGGGCAACGCACGACACAAAAGCTTGTTTTATTTTTATTTTTTCTAATCTCTGAACATTAATGACCACGACTCTTTTTCAGCTCCGTAGTCCCCAAGTCCTGCACCAGACTCTCCCGCAGCTAGAATCTCCCTCCTCTCCCCTCCCCCTTCTCTTTCCTTGCTCTCCTCCCTCCTCCTCCTCCCCTGGCTCCCCCCTCTCCCGCACTACCAAGAGCCTCCAGAAGAATAAAAGGCTGACTCACCGGGCACGTACGGGGGTCAGGAGTAAACGAACGGTTACTTTATAAAGTTTATTATTAATTTTAAAAGTAAATAAATGGTTGTTAATTGCTACTAACCGCTTATCAGATAGAATGAGTTCACTAATATGGACTATTTATGCAACCGAAGAATTGTCTAGGGGCCAAAATGGGGAAGTTGAACGGTCCCCTCCACTGGGCGGGGGCGAGGTGGGTGGCAGGGAGGCGAACCAGGCCTGGTCTCCAGCGGATCCACGTGTTCAGAAATCAGGCCCCATAACAAAAGGTGAGGACTCCCTGCCGCTCCCGCAGGTGAGGTCGTGAGTCACTCCGAACCTATTCAGGCCAGCCCACAGCTTTCTCTTTTCAAATAGAAAACAGGATTGCTGTGGGCGGGTTTATAAGGTGACAAGGGCCTGAATGTCAGACTTGAGTTTAAGGCCGAGACCCACCTTTGTTTACAAAGCAATGAAAAGCCTTTTCTTTTTTTTTTTTTTTTTAATGAATTTGCCTTAATTAAAATATTTGTATATTTTCCTTAGCCCTGAGAAGCACTTTTTAGAGCAGCAATTTTATTTAAATAAAATTATAAGCTATTGCAGCTTAAACATGTTATTTTGAACCATTTAGCTGGCTGCCATGCAGAAATTCTGTACAGCTGTTCTGGAAAATTGGTTAATAACCAGTTTTATCCAATGAGAACATAGAGCATATTTATAAAAATTAGATTTTGAAGTCTGCCCTCTTCAATTTCACATAGTTAATTTCCTAATAAACATGTACTGCTCGTCCAAGGTAACAGCCTTAGTGAAAGGCTGCCTGCAAGCTTTAGCTTGGCCTTGTGTGCAAGAATAATTTCACTATCAGGTGAATGGGGCAGTTGGATGTAATCTGAGACTACAGTTAGTTTGGGGACTGTAGGCCTTAAATTTATTAATATTATGAGTTCATTAAGTCAGCTTAAGTCAGTGGTTATTGTTAAATAATTTACTTTGCCCTTAAAATCTTCAAATAAATAAGGCTCAGGGAGCTAATCGATTGTTATATTTACCGCATTAAGCCTTAAAAATTGGAAGGGGGTGGTCAGTAAACAAAGTCTTCAAGCAGTAAAGCCAGCATTTCAAAAATAACCTTGCTTTTATTTTGAGACCGATTTTGTCACTGCACTTGAAGACTACAACTGAACAATCCAAACTCCATCAGAAAGCTAAGACTTGCTGTGTAATGATTGTTATTGATAACTGGGTCCTTGTTTTCTTGATAGAGAAAGGCTATTGACAAGCATTTGTTTATCCACAACAAAAAGTATAATTAGCTTATCCCACTTAGTAAATCTTGTATGCATGCCAACTCATACCAAACTGCTTTTACAAAAAAACAAACAAACAAACAAAAAAACAATAATACAGTTCATTTTTCCAGTCCTTTTTGCACAAAATTTATTTACAATGTCTACATAAATGCTCCAAGGTGGGACTATGGAAAAATACACACATGACCAATGCTTTGCTGAGAAATAAAGTCAACATATTAAAAATAAATCTTCAGTCTATGTTTTTGAGCTGCATGAAGCAGGAAGTGATGTACAAGGTGGTGGTCGTTGCCGCATGGGGACAAGGATGCTTGATGTGACAATTAGGCTTCTAAACACACGGCCTTTTGGTTTCCATGCCTCCTCCTACCAGGCTCCTTAAGACGCTGCCTGCAACAGCTGATTAATCATTGTTGATGACTGCAGTTTTTCCCATCCTTCCCGATTTACATCTGTTCAGGCCAATTCAAATATGGTGAGTAAATGAATTAGACATGCAAATTCAAGCCCCAGGCTAGAGAGAGGGAGAGAGAGGAAAAAAGAGAGAAAGAGAGAGCGCACATGGCTGAAATCCTAGGCGAGAAGATTCTTCTGCCTGATAGTTATTTTAATGCTCTAAAAATCCTGCAGACCAGACCTTCCTGCCCCTTGCAGGATAACTGTAAGGCTTTTTAATGTAAGGAGGCTTCTGGAGGAAGTGAACAGCTATGGAAACAACACACATAGTGTGGAAAAATTTCACATTTTTTTTTAAAAAATCTATAAGAAACAACGTAATATGGATAACAGTATAATAGCATTTACAATAGTTCACTCTTTGTTCTTTTAATGTCTTATATAGTTATTTAGCATGTCCCCCAAATTGACTTCAGTTGGTTTTCCTGCTTTTTAAGAGTCCCTATGAAGAATTAAGTATGCTTCTTGGTCCAAAGTAGATGTCAAGAATGGAACTCCACAGTCATTGCAGAAAAAACATGATTTGAAATCAGTCACCATTGCAGACAATGCATATTCCCTTAAGCTACTGAGCATGAATGTCCATGACTTGTCCACTCATAGTTGGGTCTCCTGTATTAAGAATCGTGGGGCTTGATGCTGACATTGGCATTCCAGGGTGGGGCGGTCCTCCATGCATCATCACTGTTGGGTGGTGAGGGTGTCCAGGAATGTACGTATGCATGGGGGGCCCATGACGCAGCTGAGCAGGATGTGGGGGCATCTGGGGTTGGGTATAACTTGGCTGTCCCATGCTCACACCTATTGGACCACCCCGGGCTACATACTCCCCTGGCATACTCTGCAGCCCTGTAGAAATTCAAAAGAAAAAAAGAAAATATTATGAAAAAGCAACAGTGTGGTTCTGAGCATGGTGATCCTAGGAAGCCAGCTTTGTGATTAGGGAATGAGGACTCGTGAAACATTCCTTTGATTAAAATAGAGGAAAATAAAACATGAGATGTCATGCTGGGAATTTGCGTTTGCCACCATTTGCCTGGCATTGTCAATTATTATCAGTCCGTCTACCAACTCAAATTTACAAAATTAAAAAAAAAATGCTGGGGTCTGTCTGGTCTAAAGAAACACTTTTCTTCCGTGAAATGTTCTCTCTATGCTTCGTCACCAAACATTTCATATGAAGCTGAACTAGACAGGCTCACTAAGGGTGATGACTTAGCAAATCCTGTACCTTTGAAAAAAAAAAAAATCAACATACTTGTCAATAAATTCCTTCCACATGGCCTCTTAGAGCTGTGGGGAGAAAGCTTAACAAAACCCTGTCTACCTTACAATGATTTTGAGAACAATAAGAAAAATTGGACCTAAAACAATACTTCTCTTGCTTTGAGGGGCCTCTTGTCTTCTGCATGGATTGCTCTAGTTGATGGAAACTGACAGGTGTATTGTTTCTGAGAGCCATAAGCTCCATCATCATCAAGGGTGAAAGGCATAACGCCATCTCAAAGTATGTTCAATTGGCTTTAGTTCTAAGTAATAGTGCACTGTGAATACGAGGGACACCTTCGAATAAGGTCTCCAGGCTCTGGCGATGAACGGCTGCTTAATCTAGCCTAAAGGAACATTTTTGAACTAATGAAAATTGCTTATAAAATATACTGTACCCACAGCTCTTTAATCAAAAAAGATGATAATATTTTTTGTAATAACCTATTAATTTAATTGGTCACGAAGCATAAAATACATCATTTAAATTTAATTGACCCAGAAACTAAGAAACAATATTTAAATTAACTAAGCTAGAGAATTCCACAGTGAGGTAACAAGACTGTTGCATTCCCAAGCTCAGTGGAATGCTTTCAGAGCTAACTGTTAAACTTATATTGGACTCACACCCAGAGAAGAGGATCAGGATGAATTACCCTTGGCCTCAGCAAGGATTTTAAATAGTGCATTAATACAATCAGAGACTCAACCAAGACTCTGAAGTCACCACTTTTAATTTCAAAAAGCAAAGAGCAATGCTGTCCAGGGTAATTTAGGAAATGAACAAGGGCTTTGGAGTTCAAAACAGTTGTACTTGTTTGAACTCGAATTTCTGGGGTGCCTTTTTAGGAGAGAAAATGCAAGACAGAATCTGGGACAGTTCTCCTCAGCTCCCTTCCTAGGCCTGCTGCTGAAGACTGCATTAATGATCTCTATTTTTGTATACTGAATAAGTCAAATCCATTTGTCACACTGCAAGTGATGGCATACTTAATTTGGATATAGTCAATTAGCCTGGGCTAAGCCCTGAAGCCTGCTGTGCACACCTCTATTTTGTATTCTCCCTTTTCCATTGCCACACGTAATCCCATTATGATGGACAGACAAAGGAACAAACTCAGGAAGAAAATCAAAGTTTCGTTGACTGAAGCTCAAAATACGCCTTTACTTACCCTAAGTAAAGCTGTGTTTATTTTACCTAAAAGAAGTTCTCTGTTTGGCTTTTCGGTGTCTTGCAGGTTAGTGTAGAAATGTAACTCATGCATCAACTGCGGTTAGACAGATTTATGACACTTTGGGGACGTGCTCTTTCCTCTCCTTGCACTGCTGCAGACTGCTTACATTTTGCAAATCAGTCTGTTGCTATGACAACCCACTCCCCCACCTCCTGACTGTTTCTTGTTTTGTCATGTGGTCAGTACTGTACAATAGCAACACACGGGATAAATGTACATCATACACAGAATTTATAAGCTTAAAAGCTTGATCAAAACCAAAGAGAAAACGAAGGACGCGAGAAAGAGGAGTTTAATGGAAAGGGAGGGACAAGCATGAAGCTATGGGCAAGGAGAGCATGAGAAAATGCGAGAGGAAAAATATTCCTAGGACGAAGGGCAAACAAAGACCCCATTTGTACTTACTTCCCCCTGGTCTCGATTGGTTAACTAGATGAAGGTTACATGTAGTGCCACTGCCCCTCCATGCCCATATTCATGCCCATTCCACTCATAGGTCCTAGAAGGGAGATAAAAATCCAAGAAGAGGCCAGAAGATGAGCGAAGTCAACAGATAGTGCCAAAAGACCCTTAACAAAACAGGTTCTAAGTGGTTGAGCAGCAATGAGCTCTTCAGCACAGGAAGGTGCTGGCTGCCCCTCTGCAGTATCTCAGATGCGCAGGCGCAGGTAAGGCAAGGCAGGAGGCTTGAGACAGCAAAGGAGGAGTGGAGCGACCTGTGCTGGTTTCAGGAGGGGATGACACTGTTGCGTGTTAAACATGAAAAACTACTGCAAAAGTCTTACCTGGGGCTCTGATGCCCATGTGCTGCTGACCATCCATTACAAAGCCTCCCATTGGCTGTCCATCAGGGTTATAAGGTGTTCCTTGACTGACTACAAAAGTACACAACACAGCTTCTTAGTGATGGGGGAGAGAGGGAGAGAAGAAGGGAAGAAGGGGAGGAGGAGGAAG